CTAATAATTTATTAAGAACTATAGAAAAATTACTATACCCCTATATAATATTACTAAAAAGAGGATAGAATTCTAATAGAATAATAAATAGTAATAAGTACTTAATAAAATAAAAAACTAAATACTCTTAGAATCTATACTATAGATATTCGATCTAATAAGGGAAGTAGAACTTAAAATAGATATCTCAGACTTTATAATTAGTATATAAATTAGCTAAAAGGATAATAACAGAGTATTATACCCTATAGTATTCTTTTTAAAAAAACTATATAGTACAGAACTTAATTACCCTATCTATAATAAAGAATTTATAGCTATTATATATATATTTAAAGAATTTAAGTACTACTACTTAGGAATAATATATAAGGTTAAAGTATATATAGACTATAAAAATATTTAGTATTTTACTATAATCTAATAACTAAATAAAAGATAAATATACTATACTGAATATCTATCTTAATTTAACTATAAAATTATATATTAAAAAGGATTAGAAAACAGAAGAGCTAATACTCTCAGCTGAAAGCCTAAATATAAGGAAGTAGTTCTAAAGATAAATAGATAGCTATTCTTAACTAATAATAAAGAATACTTAGTATAGAAAACCCTAGGAGTAATACTTAAGGAAATAGTATATACTAAAGTCCAGATAGAGATTATTCCTAGCTTAGGAAAGCTATAGCAGAATACTAGGATAGTACTTATTAAAGAAATCTATAAGTACCCGCTCTTAGAATACTAAGGAGTTAAGAAAATATTTAAAAGGATCAGGTAATACTATAACTACCCAGGTCTATAAAAGGATATACAGACTATAGTCTTAGAATATAATACTTATATAAGAATTAAGTTTATATAATATAAACCCTATAGAGAACTTAAATCAGTCTTAGTATCAGAATAACCCTAATAATTAGTATTCTTTAATTATATTATTAAACTACTATTATTAAAAGAACCTATAACTAAGGTAGAATATAATAGTATTCTAGTAGTTATTAATAGACTTATAAAATATAGATATTTTATTCTATATAAGGAAGTAAGCTCTACAGAAGATCTTATATACTAGTTTTTATAATATATAGTTAATTACTATAGATTACCTAATAAAATTATATTAGATAGAGGAATAATATTTATCTCTAAGTTTTAGTAATTACTTATAGTATAAATAGGTACTAAGTATAAGCTCTTAATAGCTTACTATTTATAAAGTAATAGTTAAATAGAATAATTAAATTAAACTCTAGAATAATACCTATAAGTATATATTAACTATAAGTAAGATAATTAGGTATAACTGCTACTAATAGTACAGATCGCTTATAACAGTTCAGTATAAGAATCTACCCAGTTAATATCTATATATATAAATTATAGTTATAAGCTGTAATTTCAGAATTAATTAGAACTTAATAGACTAGATATACCAGCTACTATACTTATAAAGGAAATATTATACTTATTATATATAGAAATAAAAATAGAACTTAAATTTATCTAATAAAGAATAAAAAAATACTATAATAAAAACAGATTAGAAAGACTAATCTTAGAGGAGGGAGATAAGGTCTATCTACTCTATAAAAATATTATAATAATAAGACTAAGTAATAAATTAGACTATAAAAAATTTAAACTATTTAAAGTTCTTAAGAAAAAATCAGATACTAACTATAAACTCTTATTACTGGATATAATATATATCTACCTAACT